AAGTGGTACTAAATGTGATACAAATTTGATTTAAGTGAACCGATAGAATCCTGAAATTTGGAATTAAGATTGGAGTATGTGGGAAGTGTTGGAAATTCGTACTTATGATTGCTAAAGTAGGTAGTTATGGAAATTTATATTAATGTGCACTAACTGATACTCAATTCGGATTTGGGTGATTTTTTTTTCAAAATAAGTATAACAAGAGTACAAATGGTAAAAAATTGCACCTAATTTAGTATAGAGGTAGATTCCTGTTGGGTGTGTAGGAATGGGTGTGTAGGGTTGAGATACAGAGGTATATTTGATAACATACTATGGTACTAAATGCTTCTAAAATTTTAATAATGGTCGATATAGGGTGGTTTTAAATACAACCCACATTCTCTAACGAAGTAGCGGGTATATGCTAGTACATCCATATAAAGAATCCGTTTTTGGCATGTTTAAAGTCCTAGCCGATGTGTATTTTCTTATCCGATTTCGTAGAGCTATACGATATAAGGATCTCGACGAATTTTAGGTATATTTGAATTCAACCCTGATGGTAATAATTGGAATGCCGTGCTGATTTTTTAAGCCATATACATGAAATCTAATGAAATTATAATCGGGAGGTATATTTAAATTTGAATTGATACCCATACATTTTAATAGGATTCGTCCTTCGGCCAAATAAATGAGACGTGTAAAATTTTAGCTCATTGGAAATGTAAATTCAACTTGCATTACTAGTACTCCGAGGATGTTTGGTATTGCAAATTAAATATATCGGTCACGTTATTGTGTAGCCCCCACTAATATTCAGTATTTTAGGGATTTGAGACAGGTTTTCTAACCTGTAATTCGGCATTTTGGGTTCTCATGGTATATAACACTATATGTGGATTTTTGACACGTTTTTCAACCGAATTGGCTATAATTTCGAATATTTTATTCACACTACCAACATATATCAATACTGATTTTCTTTTTATTAAAGCCCCATATAACGGTAACCCCACTATTAGATGTTTTGAGAATTTCAATCATGTTTTCTCACATGAGTTTTCTCCTATCAACACCCATTATTTTTAGATATTTTGATTGTCACCCTCATAGTGGAGACTATAAAAAGTTCGGCCGAGTCGAACTTAACATCGGGTTTACTTGTTTATATTAAAATAGGTTACTGATTTGCTCCGTGTGTTGGGGTTGTCCCCATATAGGCGTATTCTACCGTAGTATGGGGGATATTCTTTACTGCAAATTGTATGTTTATACATCAAATATCCACAAATTCCAACACAACGTAATCAATATTGTCGTTATACGTCCGTATTTTGGTATGTTCTCTTTTATTTTGTCCTAAAAAATATTTCTCAATCTTCTAATTTCCCATGGTCTTGCCATTACCAACAATTAGTCCCTTTCGAAACACCGGGACAATATCCTACGAAAAAATAACAAACAATCGATAATTCGAACAGAAATGCCAAAGAACTGCAATTCCAAAAACAAAACAACAACAGCAGCAGCAAAAACAACAACATTGTTTGGAAAATGTTTAATGTTAAGAAAAACAAAAACAAATATTAAAAATAGTTTACGAGGTGTTGGGTGATACAATTGTCTTGTCTTCAAGAGGAGAACGAAAACGAAAAAACAAACGAACAATTGAAGAACAAATGGGTAATGGAATTCAAATTTGAACAGCAACTACAAATGTGGCAAATGCATGTAGATTATGTGAACGTGTTGGGCCAGCTGTAAAACAAAAGGGAAACCCAATTGCCGGGCGGGCATATGTTTTTTCCATTTCAGCTTGCTCCATTTCTACGTTTTCTTTCCCTCGATTGATTATCGCATGTCGGCGTTATCAAATGCTTCGTGTGGTGTCTTCTCAAGACATTAGCCAAACGAATTATTCGATGAAGTTAATAAAAAAAACCCACCCGGAGATATTTAATTTTTATGATTTTAATGCACCACAGTCACTTCCCGATTACCCTTCAATTGATGATTTGTGGAAATGCGGTTGTGGAAGAACTTCATTGAAAAAAGCCACAATGAAGATGCTGTGGACTTTTATTCATTTCGTAATCAAATTGAGTGTTTATGAATTTCAATTTCTTGGGAAGTTTCACCGCTCCCTTTTAAGGCCGCAAAAGACAAACAAAACAACCAAATGGGGGGAATTGGGTCAGTATTACGAAAAAATAATGCCATCATCCATATGTTTGCAATTCACCGCCACTTGCCGCACTTGAATGTAAATTTATTATTTTTAATTGAATTTTAACAAGTGCCGCCTCTCCTCACCCTCTCTTTTCGATTTACAAACATACATTGAGAATATATTTACAGCTTGAAAAATGTGATATTGCAGAGGAGTAGGAGAAGATGTGTAAATTATGAAGATTATTTTGAAAGTTTTCAATTCGCCCTCCTCCACCTCGATGTGCCTCTACAATTTAGCTGACACTTGCGTTAAGAATTTGTTGAAATTTGAAAGTGGATTCAATGAAATTCCATATCGATAACATCTGGCCATTGATATATAGTTGAATCGAATGATGGCTTCTATCTGTATGTTGTTGTGTAGCATGGTTTTGAAATAATGAAGAAAAAATATTTTTATTTACAAAATTGAGTTGTTTTCGTATTGAAAAAAAAAAAATAATAATAATAAAATCTACTTGCTGTTGATTCGACACTGATCTAAGGGGCAACATTAGGTAAAGTTATATAGAAGACATAGAAAAATTTACAAGGTCCGCTGCCCCAGAAGATTTGTAGAAGGACTTCTGTTCAAGGTTGACCTTTATAAAGGCCTTTGTCAATAAACTCCCTGAGAAAGTGCCTATATTCATAGAAGAACAACTGCTTCTATCCATAAAGGCCTGTAGAACGTATTCTGTACATTAAAAATGCAGAAGATCTCTAAGCTACTGAATACATTTCTATCCATCGAAGTCCATTAGAAGTTTACTCTAACTTTAGCAGGCTTTCTGTTCATAGAAGGTGGACATTTAAACTACAATTTAAGGTGGACATTTAAACTACAATTTAAACTACCACTAATAGTTCGGGACCGTCATAAATGGCGGTCGATACCATGGAACTTTGGGTAGGAAGATTTGACAACGAGTGAGAACAAAACAAGAGTCTATTCGGATAAAAAACGTGGGGATAACGTTATATGAGGTCTATCCTCAAATGTGGTTGATAATTTTTGGTGCGGAGATTTGCTATGGAATGAAAAATTGGCAAAGAATTTTTTCGACCAAAAATGTATCAAGTACAAAATGTCAGTCGGTGTCGCCGACAGATATATGTATATCTGAGTCTATAGTTTGCGGAGATCTTGGGAATTATATATTTTATCAAAGATATTTCAGATTTAATGTTGATCAAATCGATTATTCAATTCGCTTCGAATTACAAGTTTATAAAATGTGGGAGACGTTTAAAAACCAATACCAATTTTAGTGCCATTTAGTACTATATTCTCTTATAATATATATTTCCAATACTACCTTCATATCTCAACACTACGCACCAATTCTGACCGCAACATAAATCTAGTACTATACTAAATTTGGTATTATTTATTGCCATTTGTACTCTTGTAATACTTATTTCCAAAAAAATCGAAATTTAGTACCACTACCAATCGAAATCCAAATTAAGTACCAGTACTAACTGATATAAATTTCCATAACAACCTAACATGACTAAACACTTCCAAGCCCACCTCCTAATATCGACCCTACTTTTCAACATTGATTCGTATTCCAAATTTCAAATTTCACAAGCTACGAAATTATAACAAATTTAGTACGTTTTAGTACTTTTCGGATACATATAGTGCGAATTTGCAAAAACCCAGCCTTATCTAACATCTTTGGACTAAGAGTGACCCTCATTCAAAATTTCAAGATTCCAGCTTCAGCCGTTTCATCTGGGCGTTGATGAATTGTTAAGTCAGTCGGTCAATTATTTTACTCATTTATTAGTATAGATTGATCCTTGTGGGGGAGGTCTCAGGACTCGATCTAGGCTTGGTAAATATGCAAAGTTTAGTTCAAATCGGACATTCCATTTGCCTAATATTGGATTTATAAATATTGAAAACTTTGACAATTTGTGGGGGAGATACCAGAAGGATTGGTCTTCGAACTTGAACTATGTTTGGAAGAAATATTACGATGTGAAAATTTTGAATGAAACCAGCCGACCAGACAAACCGACAGACGAACGGGCATGGCACGGATTTGGTCCATATGAGGGTATAAACTTATTTCCAAATACTTTAGAAATATTTTTTAAGGAGTCAAAAAAAATATATTTTTGACAATATCATCGCTTTTAGAGAAACCATCAAAAATACCGAAATTTGGGGGTAGCCTTATATGGAGGCTACCAGAAAAATTTGACTTATATTTATAATTTTTAGTGGAGATATGTAGTACCCAATATAAACTAAATGTACCGAATTTCAACGACTTCGGTTGAAAAATGCGCTCAAGAATCCCAAAATATCGAAATTTGAGGGGTACCCTTATATGGGAGCTATGCCTAAACGTGGACCGATATAGTCCATCTTCGAACTTGACCTGCCTGCAGACAAAAAACTACTCTATGCTAAATTTTGGCGATCTATCTCAATTCGTTTAGAGGCTAGAGTGATTACAACAGACAGACATACAGACGGACAGACGCACATGGTTATACCGTCATAGAATTTTACGCTGATCAATAATATATATACTTTATAGGGTCGGAAATGATTATTTCGATGAGTTACAATCGGAAAAAACAAAATCAATATACCCTCCACACTAATAGAGGGCATAAAAAATAAAAATCACGGCATCTGGCATGTATACACAGATGACCTTACGCAAGTTCTTTTTGGAGGCCCATTTATTGGGATTACTTGCCAAATATACTACCCAACAGTTGTCCCCCTTTTTACAACAAAACGAATTAAAAACAAAATTTTAAGATTTACTTACCACAACAACAGGAAGCACCAAACCAATTAAATATAACAAGACATTATTGATTGTGGATTCTTTGAAGGGATGCATCAGCGATTCATCGTCACAAAAGAAACCGCGTTTGTACGGTTCGCCCCACAGGAAAAAGCACAAAATTGGGAAAAGAACTGTAACGATAATAAAAAAGAAAACACAAACACACACGCACATAAATAAAAATATAAACAAACAATTAACTTAAAGCAATTTTAAATATTTTGACAGCAGTATTAACTTTTGAAAAAACCACACACGCACACACACACATACCCAGATTTATTTAGTAGTATATAAAAGAACGGGAAATTGTTAAATCGTTTGTTTATAACATTAAAATTAAAGCAACAACAAAAAAATTAAAATACCAAAAAGCTTGTTTGGACTTCGTTGGTTGGAAATTAAGTCATAAAAATCTTCACTGATCAACTTCCTCAATCAACTAATTGGTCGGAATGGACTTTGTTGACTAAGGGGGTGAGGAATAAAACGTTTATGATATTGCCTTTGGATGTGTGGCCGAATTCCTCTACCCAAAAAACCGTCGATGAGATTTTTTATTGTTTTCAGAAATTCTGTTGATGCATTTTTCATGTAAATAAGGAAACCAACCTAGTTGAGTATGTGAATTAATTTTTTATAATAACCAGAACTGGCTGTTCGAATGATCGCAAAGAAAACAATTTGTTCTGCAGCTATTTTTACAAGCAGTTGAACGACACGAAAATCTTGACTTCTCAAAGGAAATGTTAATGCTTCGTTTGTTATTTTTTTCGTTACACATAAGTGCCGTTTTGAAAGGATCTCCACTTGTCGCCATATGGCATGGCATGACAAGTGTGTGCGTGTGTACGTGTCTCTAATTTCAAAGTGTTTCGAAATAGGATCTCTTCTCAAGCATTTTCATATTTCATGAGTGACAAATTTGAAACAAATAGAAAAAAATCAGCGGATGTTGAAAATTTATTTGTAATGAGGCGGCAAATTGTCTACGGCTGTCGTGTCTTTACGAATTTGGGATCCCTCATAAAGGGAACTAGAGAATTTTTTATTTAAAAAGTCAAAAATAATTAGAAGATCGTAGCATCATAATTGTTTAACAAGTTGAAGAAAGATTTTTTTATTTTTCCCACATCACGCGTGAGGAAGATTCAGGGATCTTTGAAAATTATTTTTTAAGGGACCACCAACAAAGGAGTCCAAGCTATAAACTTCATAAAATTACAATTGGATAACGTGTATTTTTTTTAAATAAATTTTAAAGGACTTTCTTTATGGGTGGGATTTTAAAAAATATCTTTGATGGGCTTATATAAGAGGAGCTTTTTTAAAAATATTTTTTAACACCATTCGATAGGCGTGGATTGTTTAGAAAATATTTTTTACCATCTTCGTATAGACCTGGATTTTTTAAAAAATATTTTTGACTACCTTTCTATAGGCGTGGCTTTCTAAAAAATATTTTTACTACCTTTCGATAGCCGTGGATTTTTTACCCTCATTCGATAGCCGTGGATTTTTTTACCATCATTCGATAGGCGTGGATTTTTTTACCATCATTCGATAGGCGTGGATTTTTTTTACCATCATTCGATAGGCGTGGATTTTTTTACCATCATTCGATAGGCGTGGATTTTTTACCATCATTCGATAGGCGTGGATTTTTTACCATCATTCGATAGGCGTGGATTTTTTTACCCTCATTCGATAGCCGTGGATTTTTTTACCATCATTCGATAGGCGTGGATTTTTTTACCATCATTCAATAGGCGTGTTTTTTACCATCATTCGATAGGCGTGGATTTTTTACCATCATTCGATAGCCGTGGATTTTTTTACCCTCATTCGATAGCCGTGGATTTTTTTACCATCATTCGATAGGCGTGGATTTTTTTACCATCATTCAATAGGCGTGTTTTTTTACCCTCATTCGATAGCCGTGGATTTTTTTACCATCATTCGATAGGCGTGGATTTTTTTACCATCATTCAATAGGCGTGTTTTTTTACCATCATTCGATAGACGTGGATTTTTTTACCATCATTCGATAGGCGTGGATTTTTGGCTAAATTGAAGATTTACTATGGAGACCTCAATGAAGTTGGTCTAATTTGAAGATTTCCTATAGAAACCTTAATTCAGCTGGGGTAAATTCAAGATTTCCCATTGACATTTTAATTCAGCTGGACTAAATTGAAGCTTTATTATGGAAACCTCAAATAAGCTGGGTTAAATTGAAGATTTTATATGGAAAAATTATTTCACCTGGGCTAAATTAAAGATTTATAGAAACCTTAATTCAGCAAGGTTAAATTAAAGTTTTCCTAAAGAAACGTTAATTCAACCAGTCTAAATTAAAGATTTGCTATAGAAATCTTAATACAGCCAGGCTAAATTAAAGATTTTCTATAGAAACCTTAATTCAGCCAGGCTAAATTGAAGATTTCCTATAAAAACCTTAATTCAGCAAGGCTAAATCACAGGTTTCTTATAGTAACCTTAATTCAGTAAGGCTAAATTAAAGATTTCCAATAGAAACCGTAATTCAGCCAGGCTAAATTAAAGATTTACCAAAGAAACCTTAATTCAGCCAGTCTAAATTAACGATTTGCTATAGAAATCTTAATTCAGCCAGGCTAGATTACAGATTTTCTATAGAAACCTTAATTCAGCCAGGCTAAATTGAAGATTTCATATAAAAACCTTAATTCAGAAAGACTAAATTGAAGATTTCCTATAAAAACCTTAATTCAGCAAGACTAAATTACAGATTTCCTATAGAAACAGTAATTAAGCATGGCTAAATTAAAGATTTCCTATAGAAATCTTAATTCAGCCAGGCTAAATTAAAGATTTGCTATAGAAATCTTAATACAGCCAGGCTAAATTAAAGATTTTCTATAGAAACCTTAATTCAGCCAGGCTAAATTGAAGATTTCCTATAAAGACCTTAATTCAGCAAGGCTAAATCACAGTTTTCGTAAAGAAACCTTAATTCAGTAAGGCTAAATTAAAGATTTCATAAAGAAACCTTAAAATTAAAATTAAATGAACGATTTGCTATAGAAATCTTAATTCAGACAGGCTAAATTAAAGATTTTCTATAGAAACCTTAATTCAGCAAGGCTAAATTAAAGATTTCCTAAAGAAATCTTAATTCAGCAAGGCTAAATTAAAGATTTCCTATAGAAACCTTAATTCAGCAAGACTAATTTACAGATATCCTATAAAAACCGTAATTCAGCCAGGCTAAATTTAAGATTTCCTATAAAAACCTTAATTCAGCAAGGCTTAATTAATGATTTCCTATAGAAATCTTAATTCAGCCAGGCTAAATTAAAGACTTTCTTTAGAAACCCTAATTCAGCCAGGCTAAATTTAAGATTTCTTATAGAAATCTTAATTCAGCTGGGCTAAAATCTATAGTTCATATGCAAACCTAACTGAACGGTTCCAAGAAAAGCTTATTGGCTCTATAATGATCCAGAGATATATTTCCAAAAAAAAAAAAACTCCGCGTAGCCTTGCACTCTATAAATTATAATTTTCGTTTTGCATTTTTATGAGGACAATGCAGTTCTGCAGGTATTACGCCCAATTGAAATTTATGCTACCACGACGCATAGAAAAATTCTGGTGGCAGTTGTCACCCACCCACACAATTTGAATGCAGTTTTTGTTGTTGTTGTTTTTTTTTTCAATTCCACAAAAGAGTTGTTGCAGCCGGCAGTGAACACTCGATCAGATAGTGGGGAACCCAAAAACAAAGAATAAATTATTTCCCCCATCCACAAAAAATGCAGCTCCACCATGGCAATTAACAATTGTAGCATGAAATAAGAGTTTTTTAGTGCGGCTGAAGTGGGGGTGGTGGTACTGGAAGTGGTAGTGGTGTTGGTGATGTTGTTGCTTTATAACCTCCAAATGTGCTGTTTTAATTACATGCATCCATGATTGTTGTTGGCGACAACAAACAATGACACCAACAACAACAACAATTAAAACAAAATAATAGGCAAATGCATAAAGAAGTTTCTAAGGGTCCCACAACTAGTTTTCATTGAAATGACTTGCGCAACCTTCTCCTCTAGCAGATGGTAACAGTCTATGTATAGGATTTTCTGCAGTTGCCGTTGTGGAAGAGACATGAATGAAGAGGGGGTTTGGTTGCTGACATTCAGCCTGCATTTGAAAATAATGAAAAAAAAATCCAAAACATTGCAGCAATGTCAAAGTTGTGGTTAAACAATTTTCTTTCTTGTTTTCTGTTAATTAATTGGCGTCTCGTTCTTTTTATGGCAACGACGGCAATGCTGATCGTGTTTGTTAATAGTTTTGAATGCCAATTAAGATTTTTTATTTAATGGTGAAAATTAAATATTTCTGTTTTTATGATTTAGAATGACTTCTAATTGCACCAAATTTGGAATGCATGAAATATGAGGGGGCAAAGTCAATTTATTGGATGTTATTCTTACAGGATATAAATGTAATAACTAAACCAATATAAAAGAAGAAATTCCTATGAAATCCGTAATTCAGCCAAGCTAAATTAAACATTTACTATGGAAACCCAGGCTAAATTAAGAACTCCTATCGGAACCCTAATTCAGCTGGGCTAACAGAAAGATTTCCTATGGAAACCTTAATTCAACTGGTCTTACCAGTTTCTTTGAGGGTGATAGTGATTTAATATGGCCATATGCATTTTCAATGTACACTTACTCTCCATTTTCGTCATTTTGATATTGGAGGCGTATTTAGGAGTGGCTGTACTTTGTCACTTTTGGATTTTTGTGAGAGAACAACTTCATTGCAGAAAATTGGCAATATAGATTTATCCAGTTTAAGGATAAACAAATCGACTTTTGCATTGAAAAGTCTAAAAGTCGAAGTTGACTTTTGATCTTTGAGGAAATCGCAAAATCGACTTTTCAAAATCTACTTTTATATCCTACACAACTATGTTGTCAGGGTATTATAATTCGGTACAGCCCCAAGAGTTTGTATCGCAGCGAAATATTAGTCCTAGAGCCACCTTTTAGTAGACCGATCGTCATATCTCGACTAGCTGAGTCGATCTAGACATGAGTGCTAGTCCGTCCATTATAATTTGTAAATACAATACAGG